CCGGTATGAACAATGATATTTGGTGGTGTTGGGTTGACTCACGATCCGTTCGTCTGATCTCGTCGGGAGGGAAGAAATCTGTGAAAGAGCTGGGGTTGCCCCTCGGATTAAACTCCGACGATCAAGTCAGTTTATGTTTGTGGAGAGAGTTGAGAGAATAAGGTAGAGAGATAAGGTGTAGAGAGATATTCAAAAGTAGAAAGTGAGGAGAGAGGAGGAGTCTCCCCCCCTTATATACCTGTAGCGCGTATCGCGCATCGCCGATTTTGCGCCCTACTACTTAGTCTGTGTGCGGAGTATTTAGTAACACCCCCAACAATTGCCCCCCCAAGCTGGTGGCGAGTCTTAACTCATCGCTAGCTTATTACTTTTTTAAAAAATCTTCGTCGGTGATTTTGGGTGGAGCCCTATGTACCCCACTTGCCCCCCAGCTGGTGGCGCGTTTGACTGACGCGGTGCCAGCTTCTTGCGTCTTGCCCCCCAGTTGGTGTATTTCATTAAGGCGTGTAGCCTTCACCCATTGTAGATTCTTCATGGAGCGCTCCTCGTCGGGGTTTTAACCCTCAGTTGGAGCTCTCCTCGTCGGGGTTTTTAACCCTCAGTTTGGAGCTCTCCTCGTCGGGGTTTTTAACCCTCGGTTTGGAGTCTTCGATGCTCTTATGGAGTCTTATTTGTGTGCTTCGTTGAGACTTATTTGTAGCTTTTCGATGCTCTTATTGAAGTCTTACTTGTGTGCTTCGTTGAGACTTATTTGTAGATCTTCGAGATAATGTGCCCTCTCCTCGTCGGGGTTTTTAACCCTAAGTTTGGAGTCTTCAAGGCGTCGAGAGCATGGTGAGTTTCTTATCTCCCCCGTTTTTTGGGTACGCCTTGCCCCCCATTAGCGCCATTAACGCTCAAGAAAGTAAAATATTTAAAATCGATAGGGTACTTAGCTTTATATTGGCACAAGGGCGGTAGGAGCAGATGAAAGGCAGGCGCTGCGCCATTGAAATGCAAGGCTCGTATGTAGCCTACTGGTAGAGTTGCTTGTCTGGCGGAATAGTGGTGCGGCTTCGAGGACTGGCGACCACGACATTATTTTTAAATAGTGCGCCTGTTGAATGCGGGCCGCGAGTTGGGCCGCCTGCAGTGCGGGCTGCGAGTTGGACAATGCGCTTGGGCGCGGGCCAAGTTGCAGTGCGCTTGTGGCGGGCTCGGTGTGACGGGGGTTGAGTCGGGATGGGCCGCGAGCTAAGCAGCCGAGCGGAAGTGGGCCACGACCTGGGTTCAAAACCCAGTGGATTTTTTTTTTGAAGGACTTTGTGAGCGCGAATAATTCATGATTATTGCTACTTTTTTGTTCTGTCGAACTGAGTGGGCGCGAATAATTCATGATTATTGCTACTTTTTGTTCTGTCAAACTGAGTGGGCGCGAATAGTGCATGACTATTGCTATTTTTTGTTCTGTCAAACTGAGTGGGCGCGAATAGTGCATGACTATTGCTATTTTTTGTTCTGTCGAACTGAGTGGGCGCGAATAGTGCATGACTATTGCTATTTTTTGTTCTGTCGAACTGAGAGGGCGCGAATAGTGCATGACTATTGCTATTTTTTTGTTCTGTCGAACTGAGTGGGCGCGAATAGTGCATGACTATTGCTATTTTTTGTTTTGGCAAACTGAGTTGGCGCGAATAGTTAAAAATCAGACGCGAGTTCAAATCAGACTCGAACTAAGTGGGCGCCATTGAAACACAAGGCTCGCTTGTAGCCTGCTGGTAATCTTGCTGGCCTTCCTAAATGGTGGTGCGGGTTCAAATCCTGGTGTTGACAATATTATTTTTGACGCGAGTGGAGCCATGATGGACCGCTAGTTGGGGTGACCACGATGTTGGGCTTGGCGGGAGACGAAACGAAGCTGGTCCGGGAAAAGGAGTTGTAGCCGATCCGCGAGTTGGGCCCTGGGCCCACGTGTGCTAGTTGTGCGGGCCGTGAAGCAATGATTGAGGCGGAGCGGGACTGGTGGTGTGTCGTTGGGCCGCGAGACGGATAGTGGGTTTGCGTCGACGCGGGTTCAGTGCCAGGCGGGCTGGCCTTGATGCGGACCGCGAGTTGGAGTTGGACAAGTCCGCGCTGGATAGCGGATGAGAGTTAAATAAGAGTGTTGCGCCAAAAGATCACAAGGTGCGTATGTGGCCCGCTGGTCAGTATGCTTATTTGGTGAAGGCAGGGCGCGGGTTCAAGCTCTGGCAATGATAATATCTTTTTAATAAGCTCCATGTCAGGGCTTGGCGGGATTGCCACATTTGAACGGAGCGGGCTGAGGCACGCGAGTTGGGACTTCCGCGTGGGCCAATTGTGTGGGCCGTGAATCAAAGCTTGAGACGGAGCGGGGTGTTGTTGGGTCGCGCGTAGATGGTGCACAGATCGGGGTTGGCCCTCCCGAGAGACTGAAGGTGGGCCTATGTGACGCGGACTTGGGTTGTGTTGGGTTTAAGCGTGTCAAACCCGACGGGCTTGAAACTCTGGTTGGATTTGGGTCGCGTCTGAGAATGCTTACCCTTCTTCCTCCCACATTCTTCCTTTTCTCTTATTTTATTTGGAATTGCAGTGCGCCGGCAGCCTGGAGGGGCAGAAAAAGCAAGGCTGCCAGAGAAGTTGGGCGACGAGAGCGACAGAGGCGCCGTCATCTAGTCGCGCTCCCGCATAGAGAAACGCCGTCTGTCGCGCGACTGTCGATGTGAGCATAAGCAAGGAGCAGATCTTGGCAGGGGCGGAGACGCCGGAGAGGGTGAAGCGCGTTGAGAAGTTGGAAGCAGTCTAGGGAGTAGCTCATCTTCACTGTCTTGTCGCGCGGCCGTTGTTGATGACGGGGTAAGCGGCAGAGAGAGCAGAGCACTTGCGTGACGCAAGAAGGAGAAATTGGAAGCGTGCAGTTGCTGTTGATGAGAGCGGGAGCAAGGCGCGCCGCCGCCGTTTACTTTTTGGCATTTTGATTTTGACCCACAATAGAGACGAAGACTTCTCTGGTTGTGCGGCGATCTACGAGAGAGGAGGTCAGGGCGGACCGAGCGCCGATAACTCCATCTGCTTGCGTCGATTACTGTGCATCTCGATTTATGTGCCCTGTGCTTTTTCTGACAAGGAGTGGAGGTAGAGGTAGCATGTTTTTAGGAGAAAAGTCGATGAAGACAGCGACAAGACTTCTTCTTCATTGTTCTTCGGAGACTCGGCGTCGGTCACCGATCCGGCAAAAAACGTCGTCGGAATCCGGTTGGGTTATATCTTCCTTCATTCCCGTTAGCTGCTATTGAAATCCATATTGGATCTTCTTCACTCATCCTTCTTTGGCGGCTGTCGCTGTTTGTAGTGCTGGGGAAAGTTTTTTTTTTCATTCCCAAAAGTGGTGAAACCTGGAACTATCTTTCCCCTGCTTTTTTTTTCTTGTATAACTTCTATCTCCATTCAGTTGAGCTTTCACCAGGAAGTAGATCCAACAGTTTTTTTTATTTATTTTACCCACTTTTGCGGTTGTTGTAGCGATTGGCGGAGGAATAGTCGGACTTGTGGTGGATTCCCCTCCTCTTTGCCCAGAATCTGTGATACTCATCGACTGTAAGGTTTCTTCTTCGCTGGAGATCTAGAATGCTTTTCCGCTTTTCCCGTTCTTTGGCAGTTATGGTCGCTCTTATGAGTATCTTTGACCAAACTTGTTGTCGACGGTTGTAGCAGCGGGGAGAATCAATTTCTTCTTACACAGATCTCCTCCTCCTTTTAGAAATAGGATGAACAGAATGTAGAAATCAGGCCCCACGGTGGGCGCCAATTGTTTGTACCATCTAGCTCCGGTATGAACAATGATATTTGTTGGTGTGGGGTTGACTCACGATCCGTTCGTCTGATCTCGTCGGGAGGGAAGAAACTTGTGAAAGAGCCGGGGTTGCCCCGGATTAAGCTCCGACGATCAAGTCAGTTTATGTTTGTGGAGAGAGTTGAGAGAATAAGGTAGAGAGATAAGGTGTAGAGAGATAGTCAAAAGTAGAAAGTGAGGAGAGAGGAGGAGTTCCCCCTTTGGGGGGGTTTCAAGCCCTTATATACCTGTAGCGCGTATCGCCGATTTTGCGCCCTACTACTTAGTCTGTGTGCGGAGTATTTAGTAACACCCCCAACAGTATACAATATAATTATTGGAAGAACTCTAATTTACTTCAGCGGATCAATTAATTATTATCTTTTGGTTTATTTAGGTTTCGTGGTTATATAACTATAGTTTAGGATTCACCCAATAAAATTAGAGCATTGTACTATACTCAAATTTCTCAATTAATAAATTATTTAATTAGCATAACATTTTTTTACCGTGGACATGGTACACACTAAATTCATTAGCCATATCATAACTTGAACCCAAAATATAAATAGTTTATTTTGTTCTCTGTTATTTGGGGCTGGATTTCCAAAAAGAAAAAAATTACCGTTTACTTTCCGTTACTAATGGAAAGCATATTATTGAATTTTGAGCCAATTCCTATCACCCACGTAGCTGGTTGCAGGCAGCTCCGCCAACCCGGGTTGGAGCTAAATATTATCCATTTACTAATTAATTAAATTAATTGGACCAATAAACGATAGCCACGGCCCACGTGGGCTGGTAGTAGTTGTGTCCTGCAACCCAGTAAGCAGCCAAATTTCCGCCGAAGGAAAATGGTGAGGAACGAAGACGATGGACAAAATGCTTATGCTTAAATGGAAAGGTATACATGCAACTCTCACACACATCTCTCATGATATGAGAACATTGTGAAGAACCAACCATAAAGTCTCAGTATTGAGGCAGTTGGAAGCTGGAAAGCGTGCAATTATACTAATCCCTGTCACCACATACTTCACTTGAAAGCATCCTCCACCAATTTAATATACACCATTACCACACCCTATATATTCACCTATATATAAAGCCCTCAAAACCCCATTTCCATTCATCAACCATTTCATCCATCTCTTAACTCCACAACAAAACCATGGCGGCTTCCTCCTCCAACACAACCGTCCTCCTGCTCCTCATCATCGCCACGTCGGCTTCCCTCCTGTCCCTGGCCGCGGGCCGCGACTTCTCCATCGTGGGCTACTCCTCCTCCGACCTCACCTCCACCGACAAGCTGGTCGACCTGTTCGAGTCCTGGATGGAGAGACACTCCAGAATCTACGAGACCATCGAGGAGAAGCTCCTAAGGTTCGAGATCTTCAAGGACAACCTCTTCCACATCGACGACACCAACAAGAAGGCCGCCAACTACTGGCTCGGCCTCAACGAGTTCGCCGACCTCACCCACGAGGAGTTCAAGAACAACTACCTCAGCCTCAAGCCAGTCAACACGAGAAGGGACACGGTCAACGACTCCTCCTCCTCCTCTTTGTCAACGGTGGAGATCAGGAGCAACATTCCCAAGGCTGTGGACTGGAGGAAGAAGGGAGCGGTCACCCCCGTGAAGAACCAAGGGTCGTGCGGCAGCTGCTGGGCCTTATCCACCATCGCGGCCATCGAAGGGATCAACCAGATCGTGACGGGGAACCTGACGGCGTTATCGGAGCAGGAGTACGGTCTGATACGACTGGTAATGTGACTTGAATCGGACTATCAGCCGCTACGACGGGGCTCAATGTTATTTGGGTTCGGGTTCGGGCCTGGTTTGTAACCGTTTCCTTTAGCAGATTGGATTAGGTTTAGACCCACATGGAGAAGTACTATATATACTTCTCATACTCCTCTGTAATCTGTAATCTCCTCGATATAGTGAAATTGACTCTCTCTCGCCCGTGGACGTAGCTAACACACATCGTGTTAGTGAACCACGTAAATCGTGTGTCGTGTTTTCGATTCTTGCTTTCGTATTCTTGCTTTGTCGATTCCAGCGATTTCCCGATCCGTAGTAGCGCGTTTATAACAAGGAGCTCATCGACTGCGACACGAGTTACAACAATGGGTGTAACGGCGGTCTAATGGACTACGCTTTCGCCTACATCGCCTCCACCGGTGGGCTCCACAAGGAGGAGGATTACCCTTACATCATGGAAGAAGGCACCTGCGAGATGACCAAGGTACGTAATAATAAATTACGTAACACAATCCTATAGCTACGTACTATTTTTTTTAAGTTTGAGAAGTGAGAGAATGTGAGCTGACGTGGAGCGAGCTGGCAGGCGGCGGATGCTAAGGTGGTGACGATTAGCGGGTACAAGGACGTGCCGGCCAACAACGAGCAGAGCCTGCTGAAGGCGCTGGCGAACCAGCCGCTGAGCGTGGCGATTGACGCCTCCGGGAGGGACTTCCAGTTCTACAGTGGGGGTGTGTTCGACGGGCACTGCGGGACGAGCTTAGACCACGGGGTGGCGGCGGTCGGGTACGGGTCGGGCGAGAAGGGGCTGGACTACGTGATCGTGAAGAACTCGTGGGGACCCAAGTGGGGGGAGAAGGGCTTCATCCGGATGAAGAGGAACACCAACAAGCCTGAGAGGATGTGTGGGCTTTACAAGATGGCTTCCTACCCTACCAAATCCAAATGATTACCAATTCATTGTTGTTTCCTTAATCAATACTTTCCCATTTCCTACCTTTTTCACCCTTTTAAAACAATAATGATTAACACTGCTGCTTTCCAATCATTTTCATCTCAATTTACTTCAAGATGAGTCACCATGTTATAGGTCAGTGACATGCATGCCTGTACGTGGGTGCATGTGGTGGTGTGTTCTCTAAAAGTAAAACTGTGAATTTACATCCGATACATACAAAAAAAAAAAAAAATAATTATTATATATAGTGCTTTTTTTCGGCTCACAAAAAATAAAGTGCATACTGGGGACACGTCTAAAAGTAGGTTTACTCTAAGACATTGAATTTTGGATTATAATTGATAACATGAGTATGATATGATGGTATACTGAAGATCACAACTAATCAATGTATTAGTATTCTAAGTGCTATTAAACCTTCAATTTTGAACCCTAACTCTAAACGCTAAACTCTAAATTCTTCCGATCAAAGAAAAATTTCAACAATTCATACATTTCTTTATCCATGATTAACATCCTTTTTACGTGATTCAACTACTGAAAATGATAATTATATTTATAAATAAGGTACGTTATTCTAAGCGCTAAAAAAAAGTGAGCGAATGAAAGACAACACAAAACCATATACATATATAAACTACATCAACCTCAGATCATATATACTAACTATAATCACAGTGCAACGGCCGGGCCATCCGATTCCGTCTCCCTTTCCTTCTCATTCTCCTCAAGCGACCTTCTCATCGTCTCCGGCGTGAAAGCATACGTCACCACCGTCCCCAAGAAACAAACGGCGCCAAGCACCACCAGCGCCGCCCTCATCGGCTTCAGCTTACTATCCGGATCACCCTCGTTATACTCCCCGCTGCTCCCCCACGCCCTCTGTATCCCCACCGCTCCCACCACCGCCCCGATCTTCCCCGTCGCCCCGGATATCCCGTGACACGTCGACCTCAGCCTCGCCGGGAACAGCTCCGCGGGGACAATAAACGTGGTCGTGTTGGGCCCGAAGTTGGCAAAGAAAAAAGTCAAGCCGTAGAGGATGATGAAGCCCGCGTGCTTGTGCTTCCTCCAGAAGAAGTACGGGATCCCGAGGCCCAAGTAGAGAAAGCCCATGAGGGTGAAGCCCATGAGCTGGATCTTGCGTCGGCCCACGCGGTCGATGAAGAAGACGGTGAAGTAGTAGCCCGGGATGGTGGCGGAGATGGCGATGAGGGCTTGGAGGCCGGCGACTTTGATGGCCTCCTCGTAGACGTCGGTGGAGTCGTCGAGGGTGAGGTACTGCTGGTAGATCTGCGACTGGAAGAGGTTGCTGGAGTAGAAGGCCACGTCCAGGAGGAACCACGTGGCGGCGCAGGAGAAGAGCTCGACGCCGTGGCGGCGGAGGAAGCGGGTGGAGAGGAGCGGGAAGGTGGAGGAGGAAGGGTATTCTGGGGAATCCATGGTTGTTGGCTGTGGTAATTCGTCGTCGTCGAGTGGCTTGTCTTCTTGTATCTGGCTGAGTGGGAGGTCTAGGATTTTCTCCATGTCACGCGCTGCCTGTAACACATTGTTCTCCACTAGTGCTGTGTATCTGCATATATAGTGACCGAGTGAGAAATTTAAATGAGTGGAAATAAAAATTTAACTCTCAAAGAATTTGAAGTGATTAAAATTTAAAATCTTATAAAATATTATATTTCTCAAATTTACTACCAAATTAATGTTACATGATTTTATGAGTTAGGAGGACTATAATTTCTCTTGAAGGTGGCTCCTCCACTGTGCATGGAGACATGTATTTTTTTGTTCACATTTTTTTCTATGCGTATTAATTAAAATGCCTCACATGAACGTTTAAAGTGGAGTTTTTTTTCTTCTTCAAATTATTATAAAAAAGGTAGAGTTTGGTTCATATTATTTATTGTCACTTCAAGTTGTTTGTTTTATTTTACCACTCTGTCTCTTAGCATATTATTGAAGGGCGTCGACACTGTTTGTTCCGTCGCCAAAGAAACATGCCTGGCCGGAGAAAAGTCTTCCATGCCAATGCAATTATTTCCACCCCATTTAATAGCTTTTTTTTTTTTTTGGTAAAACGAGGGCGCACTGCGCCCCATTTAATAGCTTATTAACAACAAGAAACGAATAAATCCAAATTAAATATTATGAGATCGAAGGAAAGAGACATATATATCTACATAGAGATTTACTACAATAAGTTACTTTGAATTTTTAAATCTGTTAGAGAAAGACTTCACAGGTCGCATTACGTAAAATCTAATAGACATTATGTAATGATTACGTGATATATGTTTGGGATTTCCTATGGTAACTTGAAGTAAGGTAACTTGAATTTTTGTACCTACTATAGCAGGTTTCACAGGTTGTATTACGTAAAATACAATAAGCATTACGTAATGGTTACGTAACATATGATAATCTTACGTAACAGTTGTAAAAGGTCATTACGGAAGCCTTACGTAATAGAATGTGTCTTTACGTAATGAGTATTAACCTCGCATTACGTAAATTGCAAAGTCATTACGGAAGCCTTACGTAACGCTACTGAATTAACTGTTACGTAAGAAATAACTGTCGTTTCGTAACCTTTACGTAATGGAAGGTCTTTTTACGTAATGAATCTTAACCTTGAGTTACGTAAAGTGCTAAGTCATTACGGAAGGCTTACGTAACGCTTCCGATTTAAGTGTTACGTAAGAAATAACTATCATTCCGTAACCTTTACGTAGTGAATGTGTATTTTACGTAACAGTTGTAAAATATAATTAAGGAAGCCTTACGTAATAGAAGGTCTCTTTACGTAATGAATATTAACGTCGTGTTACGTAAAGAGCTAAGTTATTACGGAAGCCTTACGTAACACTTCTAATTCAATAAGAATTAAAAAAGGAAATGTTAAAATATGGAAAGACAACTAAATGTGAAAATAGGAAAGAAAAAATTGAAAAAGGTGACTTGGGTATGTGGTGACCGGCAACTCATGTTGCCATTTATTTTTATAGTTATTTTTTTATTTATTTAATCAATAGTTTAAAATAAGTGTGATCAATTTTAACGGTTTAGATCTATGCAAGTTACCTAACTTAAAATTATATCCAAGTTAATGTAGGAGATCCCTATATGTTTATGTTTATATAACAGTTGTAAAGGTCAGCGGCGGATCTAGAGGGCCGCCCCGGGTCACGGCCCAGCCTTCCATTGGATGCTGAGCTAGTATAGTCATTGTAAATGTTCGACTTTAGGTATTCGTTTTAGTGCTCGTCGAGTTACGGCCAAGTCATATCCTGGATCCGCCGCTGGTAAAGGTCATTACAGAAGTCTTACAAAATGGACAGTTCGTTTACATTATAAATATTAACCTCCCATTATATAAAGTGTTAAGTCGTTACGAAAGTCTTACATAACGTTTTTGATTTAACTATTACCTAAAAAATAACTATCATTTTGTATCCTTTACTTAATGGATATATATTTTATGTAAAAGTTGTAAAGTGTCATTACGGGATCTGTATGTAATGTATGGTCCTTTTACGTAATAAAAATTAACCTTGTCTTACTGTTATGTAAAATGTTAAGTTATTACAGAAGTCTTACGTAACGCATCTGATTTAAATGTTGTGTAAAAAGGAACTTTTATTTTGTAACCTTTACGCTATAGATGTGCGTGTAACATTACAGTTGTAAAAGGTCAATAAGTAATAAGTGATGACCGGCAACATCGATTACCAATGTTTTGATAATCAACTGTCTAAATTAATTTTAATATATTTTAGCAATTTAAATTCATACAAATTATCTTAATTGAAACTCTGCACCACAAAACGACGACCAATCACAATCATGAGAACCACACAAAAAGAGAGAGAGAGAGCGAGAGAGATTAATGCCTTCCTGCCAGCCGGCGAGCTATAGTAAACCACAGAGCTTAGTGTTAGAGCAATTACCTGGCGGTTTCCGGCATCAACATCCGCCAATAATACGTGAGCGCCGCGGGAACAGCACCCAGCATAAGAATCACCCTCCACGCCACGTCAGCCCCGGCCGGCGTGTGCTGATCAGACAACCCTCCTCCGGCGCGGCTGCCCACGGCGAAAATCTTGCAAACCACGACGGTGACCATGGAGCTGGCCAGAATCCCGAACCCCTGCATCGAAAACACCCCGGCGATGAAGGCCCCCCGGGTGTTCCTGTTGGCGAACTCGGACATGATGGTGGCGGAGAGCGGGTAGTCGCCGCCGATGCCGACGCCGAGGGCGAAGCGGAAGACGGCGAGGCTTCCGAGGACGCAGCCGCGGGTGGTGCAGGCGGAGAAGCCGCAGGCGAGGGAGCCGGCGACCATGATGAGGAGGGAGAGGCCGTAGACGCCGCGGCGGCCCATGCGGTCGCCGAGGCAGCCGAAGACGAGCTGGCCGGCGGCGGCGCCGAGGAGGGAGGCGGCGATCATGGCGAGGGAGATGTTGGTTGGGAGGTGGTGCTGGGAGGAATGGTGGGGATGCGGGTAGTAGATCCGGCCCAGCATGTTGGTGATTGGCGGGATGCAGAAGAGGCTGTAGGCGTCGCTGAAGAGGCCCATGCCGGCGACGATTGTGGCCTTGAAGTGGTAGTACTGCGTCCGGGCCGTGTCCAGCGCCGACAGCACTTTTAGCGCCATTTTTGCTTTGTTTTTGTTTTTGGGGGAATTGGAAATTGTGTTGTTGGGGAAGGAAGAGAATCTGCTGGGGAAAGATGGAATTCGAAACCCAATGAGTCCAGAATCCCTCATATATATACTGTGGCAGTTCGATAGTTAAGGTTGAAGTCAAAACTTACTACACTTATATATTGGAAATAGGTTTGATGCTACAACACCTAATTCACGTATTGTAGAGTTTATTTACGTTATTTGGTACTTGTTAATGTAATTTGGTGGTTATTGATGTAAGAGTTGTGGTTATTCAAGGAAATGAACCTCAAACTTTTTTCTTTTTCTGCCTAATAATTTGTATTGG